AGCATACAAAATGCAAGTCTGATGGATGCTATAACATGGACGAAACTTGAAAAAAAAATCTTCCATTAAAAAGAGATTTATTTATGTATGTATATGAGTTCTTTATTTGCATTTGTGACTGCACGACAGAAGAGGGCATCAGACAGAAAAAGGCATCAGATCCCATTATTGGTAGTTTTGAGCTACCATGTGGTTGCTGGGACTTGAACTCAGGACCTCTGGAAGATCAGGCAGTGCTCTTAACTGCTGAGTCATCTCTCCAGCCCCATTAGAAAACACCTTAATAAGCCAGACACAGAAGCACTGATGTTAATTAATTCCACTATGTTAAATATCTAGTTTGCTTTGCTCTGTTTGTTTGAGTCTCAGGTTGCTCAGACTGGTCTTGAACCAGAATTTTTATCATCACCCTATTAAAAAAATCTGAACTAAGTAGTGACCCCTTGTTCTGCTTTTCTGTCTCTGACTGCCTATTCTAAATCCCTAATGTAGAATGCTGTGGTGGTTCACGACTTTAGACTCAACACTGGGGAGGTAAAGGAGGGTTAAGGCCAAGAGTTCAAAGCCATCCTCTGCTACACAGCAGGCAGTGCTCCATTCTCTTATATCTAGACAGTTTAGTCTTACGAACAGTGTAACAAAGCCAAGGATGTTGATGCAGGCCTGGGATCTCAGTAACTGTGAGGCTAGGGCAGCAGGATATGCTTTCAAGGCCAGAATCAGCTGTCCCCCTCAAAAAAGTAAGAGTCAACAACAGAAAGTTGTCCAGCTCAGGCTACCAGATTATGAATGAACTGCATCACTTTAACTTTCCCTACATAGACCAGGCTGGCTCGGAACACATAGAGATCTGCCTGCTCTTTGTCGAGTGATGGGGTTAAAGGAGTAAAGATGCACTATCACACCTGGCCTGTGAGTTTTTAAATCATGGTTTATTTGGAGCTCTCATCATAGAGAGAGGGAGGGAGACAGAGAGAGAGAGAGAGAGAGAGAGAGAGAGAGAGAGAGAGAGAGAGATCATCTAAGTATTTTGCCTTGAAACTTGGTGGGTTAGGCTGGATGGTGGTGGCACACTTAATCCCAGCACTAATATATGATTTCATAGCCAGCCTGGTCTACAAAGCTAGTTCCAGGACAGCCAGGTCCTGGCAACAAACAAACAAAAACCAAACTGGGTAGGTTGGGGGCTAGAGAGATGACCCTAAGGGCACTGGTTGTTCTTCCAGAGGACCAAGGTTTGATGTCTAAAGCAAGCAGATATTGTTTGGACACTGGGCTGACAGTTTCTTGGGAATTTTATGACTTTTGCTGGGCTGCATTCACCCCCTCCCCCTTAGTTAGGTCCTGTCTAAAATGGAGTTCTTTCTCAAAATGGAGTTTGTTCTGCTCCTTCATCTCCCAAACGTTGGGGTAAAAGGCATGCGCCACCAATGTCCGGTAGTTTGGTTTGGTGTTTTGAGAACTAATACCGAAGACACCATGTTTGATCACAGAAAGATCAAGCTGGATCTGGGATGGAGACTTCCTCCCTGCTGGAGAGGTCTAGTGTAGGCATGTGCTATGCAGGTTGCTAGGGAAGAATTGTTCTCAACAGTCACATGCAGTCGAGGACCCTGTGTGCAACGTTGCTGACCACCCAGGAAAGGTGTGCCCATTGGTGCAACAGTAACACATCTGTTGACTAATGACCAACCACTTCCTGAGTGGAACTGAGGCCTGCTCCACCGGAAGGAATTCATGGCTGGTCCTGTAAACCTGTTCAAACGCCTTGTAACTGGGACAACCTTAGTGAGGATCCTACCACTGCTGCTTTGCTAAATGGACAGGATGTGTCTGTAAAATTGCCTTCTAAATAATTACGTTTATCCCCTCAGATTACTGGTGTTGTCAGCTTCGGTCAGAGAAGATTCTTTCTGTCCTATGCAGTGGTCACAGCGCTAAGAATAAGTGACTGTTGAATGCTCAGGGACAAATGGGAGATTTATATCACCTCCTCCAAGGTTTAGGGACCATGACAAAAGAGAGAATAGAAGGGATGTAGGAGCCAGAGAGTGGCGTGGGTCGTGACAGACTGCTGTCTTCCAGGCATGAAATGGCCATTGCATTCCTGAAATCCCAGCACTGTAATTACCTACACAAGACTGGGTCCAAAAACATCCTGTTATTGACAGGACAGGACTTAACTGACCCCACCCTACCCTGGGGATTGATAGATAGTTAATGTGTAGTGGGGGGAGGAGAGAAACATTTTCGTCAGTAGGATAGCCACGGGTCAGGTGCCCATGCTGCTATTTATAGTCTAGAATCTCTTACCTGTGCTCCTGTGAACCCCAGTGTAAATCATCTGGACACACACACACACACACACACACACACACAAGAAAAAGAAAGAAGACAGGACATGGTAGTAAATAGGAACCCGTTGGGAGGAGAAAAGGGAGCTGAGCGAACAGGAGGGGTAAGAAAGGGCAATGAGATGGGGGTGTGAGTGGACACTGGAGTGGACCCTCACACTGGACCCCAAATAGGTCCTCCATCTGTTTCTGTCAATGATTTCGTCACAGCATTAAGAAAATTAACAAATACAGTCTGTCTTTCTTTCCTCCCTCCCTCCCTCCCTCCCTCCCTTCCTTCTTTCTTTCTCTCGCTGAATTATTTGACCATTTCATAGTCAAAATACCAGAGTGAAACATACATTGAAAGAGCTCATTTCAATTCCTGTAGTGCCAAGTATCAGGAGTGGACATTATTGTTGCCTCTGTGATTTATGCTGCTACAGAATGACTAAGACATTGAGAAGAAACTGGCCTAGTGATGCATGACTTTAATCCCAGCACTCAGAAGGCAGAGACAAAGGTTGAGGCAGGCGGATCTCTTTGAGTTTGAGGCCAGCCTTGTTTAAATAGTAAGACCTTGTGTCAAAAACACAAAGAACTGAGACTGTCATCAACAATTATAGAGGTAACATCCTTGTTAAACTGCTAGATCAGAAAGATGCTACATTGAATTCTTGAAATCACACTGAGAAAATTAAATTACATAAATAGCAGGCGCTTATAAGAATAAAAAAAGAGCCGGGCGGTGGTGGCATACCTTTAATCCCAGTACTCGGCAGAGGCAGGCAGATCTCTGTGAGTTCGAGGCCAGCCTGGTCTATGGAGCTAGTTCCTGGACAGCTAGGGCTGTTACACAGAGAAACCCTGTCTCAAAAAAAAAAAAAAAAAAGGCCGGGGATGGTGATGCACACCTTTAATCCCAGCACTTGGGAAGCAGAGGTAGAAGAATCTCTGTGAGTTCGAGGCCAGCCTGGTCTATAAAGCGAGTTCCAGGACAGCCAAAGATACAAAGAGAAACCCTGTCTTGAAAAACCGAGAAAAAGAGAGAGAGAGAGAGAGAGAGAGAGAGCTGAATTATTTATAACATCGCTTTGACTTAATTTCCGTTTCTGTTGGGTCCTATCACAACCACCACCTGTTTAGCCTGAAAAGGATTTCTGTGTACTTCTGTGCACTAGGCTGCTTCCTATTGTTGTGATAAAAACACCATGACCAAAAACAACTTGGGGAGGAAATAGAGTTGTTATTTCTGCTTGCAACTTATAGCCATCAGGACAGGAAGTCAGGGCAGAACTCAAGGTAGGAACTTGGAGGCTGGAACTGAACTGGAGGCAATAGAGAAGTGTTGCTGATTGCTGGGGACCCTTGGCTTGCTCAGCCTTCTTTCTTATATCTCCAGGATCTGCTGAGAACAGCACGGCCAGAACGCACTGGGTCCTCATACACCAATTATTAATCAAGAAAGTGTCCCCCAGACGTGCCCCTCTCTCCAGAAGGCCATAGCTTATGTTCACAATACAAGAACAAAAAACCCGCCAGCACAGTGTGCCTGAGCTTATAGTATGTGCACCATGTGGGAGCAGGTACCTGAAGAAACCCAAAAGGGCATCAAGTCCCCTAGAATTGGAGCCTGTGGTGTGGGAGGAGGGAACTAGGCAGGGTCCACTTTGTGAGCTGCAAGCACTCTTACCCAGTGAGCGCTCTCCAGCTCTGCTTAGCATTAAAAAACAAATCCACGCCGGGCGGTGGTGGCGCACGCCTTTAATCCCAGCACTCGGGAGGCAGAGGCAGGTGGATCTCTGTGGGTTCGAGGCCAGCCTGGTCTACAGAGCTAGTTCCAGGACAGGAACCAAAAAGCTACGGAGAAACTCTGTCTCGAAAAATCAAAAAAAAAAAAAAAAAAAAAAAAAAAAAAAAAATCCACTCATTGTAGGTTTTAGCTTACTGTTAGGTTCACTTTTTTACCAAATTCTTCCAGTAGTCTGAGAATGTATGTCAGACAAACGTTGATTTACTGTAAAGGAATTTTTACTTCTTAAAAAAAATGGATAAACATACTAAAAAGTTACAATATAAACGGTTTTACCATGTAATACGAGCTTTCTTCGTGACTCCTAGTCACTGGACAGAGGGTGTTTAAGAAAATTTAAAGCCGGAATCTAATGAAGGATTGCTAGAGTGAAGTTATTTCCTTGAATATGTCATTTTCTTTTTTCTTTTGATTTTTTGATACAGGGTCTCTCTGTGTACCAGTCCTGGCTGTCCTGAAATTCGCTTTTTAGAGGAGGCTGGCCTCGAACTCGGAGATCCGCCTGCCTCTGCCTCCCAAGTGCTGAGAGAAAAGGCATGCGCCACGCCCGGCCCAACTGTGCACTTCTGTGAAGAAAAAAAAATCAATTCTACACTTTTCCCAGAAGTTCAGGAGGGCTCTCGTCTAAAGCTCAGTGAGACAAGGCTGTGCTGGAGAGCCGCAGCACGCCGTGGAAAAGACTGTCACAACTCCGGCCCTGCCACCCCAGGGATCCGCCCTTCGGGAACTCGCACCCGCCGCCCCTCAGGCGGTCCCCTGTCTTTCTCCCAAGTTTTCCGCCTGCCGCATTCCTTCCCGGGCGCGTCGGCGCGCGCTGACGTCATGACGCCGCACACGCAGCCCCGCCCCTGCAGAGCTCGGGGCCGGGACGGAGCCGGGTTTGCTCTCCTTTCCGGAATGTGAGGCTCTGGGTTCGGCAGTGCATTGCGTTCGCCCCGGTCTTGCCGGTATCCCGCGGCCGCCGTCATCGCCGGTGCTCGGTTCGCGCGCGCACGCGGAGGCCAGGCGGCCGGGGCCGTGAGGCGCGCGCTCGCGTGGTCGCCGCCCCTCGGAAGCCTCCGGGGCCGCACACGGGTTCGCTACGGAGGGAGGCGGGGGCCTGCGGGAGGAGGCGGAGGAGGAGCGAGGGAAGATGGCGGCCGTGGAGCTCGAGTGGATCCCCGAGACGCTCTACAACACCGCCATCTCCGCTGTCGTGGACAACTACATCCGCTCGCGTCGCGACATCCGCTCCTTGCCGGAGAATATCCAGTTCGACGTTTACTACAAGGTACGACCGACCTGCTTGCTCGGACCCCGCCGCCGCCTCCGGGCCGCACCCCCTTCCACGTCCGCGGCCGGGCCCGCAGCCCTCGAGGCACCGACTGCGGTGGCGGCTTTCCGATACCCCGCCGTCCCCGCGTCTGCCCCCCGACCTGTGCGATCCGGGGGGTTCTTGTGCGAGTGCTGCCCGCCATCCTCTCAGAGGCCCTGGTTAGGCCCACGGGAAATGCCCGGCTCAGCACGGTCCCACTCGGTCCTCCTGTCGCTGGGGTATCCTCCGCCCTGTCCTCTTTAGTGTCAGCCTGAGCTGGACTTTTTTTTTTTTTTTGCTGGTATCCTCCCCCAGTTCTCCCCGGCACTCGTCCCCCCACCCCCCGTACTGCTTTTCATTTTTTTCCTCCCCCCGCTGTCGGAGTTCTGTCCATTTTTTTCCTTTCTTCCCTCAAAACGAAGTGATTTACTTAGGGATTATTAGAAACGGACTGTGGGCTTCATTTGCATGTTCTTGAAAGCTTTTTGTGTGGTTTCAGGTTTTGTTTTGATTTTTCGGCTTAGACTCGGTGTTGAGTTAGGGATTTCACTAACAGGGGAGTGTGGACCGGCTCTTTAGAAAGGACGCAGTGAAAATCACCGAAGGAAAGAAGTAGAAATTATGCCCACGTATATGAAAATATATGAAAAATAGGCTATTCTGCAGCATTTCTAAATCGCTCCCCCTCAAAAATCTGAACTGAAAGTCTTCCAAGTTGCTCTTCAAGGAGTTTCAAGGGTAGGTGTCCTTAGACGTGGACAATTTTTGCAGTGTTCTGAGAGGGAGGAGAACTTTGGGAACTCGGAGCCTCCCTTTTCCTCTCCCCACATTTGAGTGTGAACACTGGATTCATTCACTGACTCCTGCTTTGAGTCAGCGAGAACTCCAGTTTGCAGTAGCCACCTTTGCACAATATGACCGGCAGAGGTTTTATTTTTAGATTTTTAAATACTACTTGATTATTGTACAGTGGTGTAATTTGATATTTAGCAGATGTGTACGTTCGTTTATGTATGTGTAGTGTTTTAGGGCGTTTACTTTATTAGAGAGATTGTCTGCTTTTTCCAGCTTGAGAACATTTTTTCAGAATTAGCAACTGACATACTGCAGTCTATAAAATCCTGCTGCTTTGCACCAGCTCCTAACATTTAAAATCATTTCCCTCCTAAATATTTGGAGAAGATTCATTTTGACAACGTGTAGTATAATTTTTGGATTTAGAAGAAAACCTCCCTCCATTCCAAATGGTTTTGATACACTGATTTACTTTCGTGTGTAACTGATGTTAATTTTATGCATTTAAGCTACATTTATCCCAAGGACAAATTAGTCTGCTATTCTCAAACCTGGAAAACTGCTGCAGTGTGTGCTATTTCTGTCAGTTTTATTAAATCGTATGCAGACGTGTACACCTTTTGGAGCCAATCACTGGGAATCTAACCAGGAAAGAATACTTTTACTACTTGAATTCTGTCGAAATACTTTAGTCTCTTTTATTTTCGCTAAAAGGAAACCTTTTCCTTTGAAGATTATTAGTGTGAGCAGTTAGTGTTCTTGTCATGTGTCTGGTCTTCATGGGCTTCAGTTTTCTTCTTTTGGGTACACTGTACTATTTTATGGTTAGATACTTGATGTGAACCCTGGTGCTGAGCTGGGAGCAATGTTAATACTTTCCTCTTTCTACATTATTGTGTTTAAGCCTTGCCATTCAAATGAGAGGTAGAGGATTGAGAAAAGGTTTCAACTGTTGTAGGCCTGTCTGTCCTGGAATCTGTAGACCAGATTAGCCTCTTTTTGGTTTTTTGAGACAGGGTTTCTCTGTAGCATCCTGGAAACTAGCTCTTGTAGCCCAGGCTGGCCTGGAACTCACATAGATCCTCCTGCCTCTGCCTGGGATTAAAGGCGCCACCACTGCCCAGCTCAGGTTAGCCTCTTGACTCACAGAGATAAACCTGCTCTGCCTCACTGGTGCTGGGATTTAAACCTGAGGCACAGGTCATATATATATGGAGTTCCAAAGTAGCCAGACCTACATTGAGGGCTCTGGTCTCAAAAAATGAAGAAAATAAAAATAAAGGCCTAAGCCACCACCCTGGCTACAAAATTTTCATTTTGATACAATGTTTCACTAAGTTGCCTGGTATGGCCTTGAATTACCCCCCCCCCCTTCTTTCTGCTTGGAGACAGGGTTTTTCTCTGAGTAGCCTTGGCTGTTCTCAGGGTGGCCTTGATCCAGACATCCACTTGCCTCTACCTCCTGATTGCTGGGATTAAAGACATGTGCCACCACCACACTGCTTAAGTTGCTTTTTATTTCATTTTTTTATTTTTTTAAAGATTTATTTATTTATTATGTGTATAGGACATTCCTTCCATGTGTGCCCGCATGCCAGAAGGGGCGCCAGGTCTCATTACAGATGGCTGTGAGCCACCATGTGGTCACTGGGAATTGAACTCAAGGACCTCCGGAAGAGCAGTCAGTGCTCTTAACCACTGAGCCATCTCTCCAGCCCCAAGTTGCTTTTTAAAATAGCATATATTTGGCTATAGAAATGCTCAGTGGTTAAGAACACTTGTTCTTGAAGAGGACTGGGGTTCACTTCCCAGCGCCCACATGGTAATTTACAACCATCCATAACAATATGATATACAAGCAAAGCACTCATACACATAAGATAAAATAAATAAAATTTTTAGCCAGGTGTAGTAGCACAAGCCATTTTAATCCCAGCACTGGGGAGGCAGAAGCAGGTGGCTCTATGTGAGTTCCAGAGCAGCCGGAACTACAAATGAGACAGGTTGTGGTGATCTGAGGTACCTCTATAGGTAAATTTGCAAGGAGTGACTGTCATGGATTAGGAGCTAAGAAACTTGCTCAGGGTACGGAGTAGTAGTCTTGAGATTTTTGTAGGAAAGCTAAACAGAAGGTGGAGATAGCTACTGAATTCTGTGGTAGGAAAAACTGGCTAAAATACACAAATGAATATACAGCCAGTAGTAAATAGGTGGCTATATAAAAGTTGATACCTTACAAAATAAATGACTTTTATTCCTAATGTTTTTCTCCAAGGGTGGAATCATTTTGGCATAGAAATGGATAGAGCATACTGAAAAATTGTAAAACAGTGTACAGATTGATTAATAAGGCTAGGTGTCAGAAACCTAGCATTTGAGGGCCTGCAATAGGAAGATCACAAATGCAGGGCCTCCGTAGCCTGCATATGGAGACTGTGTCTCAAAAACAAAAAAAGCAAAAACTTAGAAAGTAAATTGGAGCTGAATTTGGTGACTTATTCTGTGATTCCAGGACTAGGGAGGTGGAAGAGACAGGAGGGTCATTGCAGAGTTTAAGGCTAGCCAGGACAACAGTGGTAGGCTCTTTCTCAAAATTAATTGACTAATTTATTAAGATTCTTAAAGATTTATTTACACAGTGTTCTGCCAACACCTATCTCTGCAGGTCAGAAGAGAAGATCTCATTACAGATGGTTGTGAGCCACCATGTGGTTGCTGGGAATTGAACTTAGGACCTTTGGAAGAGTAGGCAGTACTCTTAACTGCTAAGCCATCTCTCTCCAACTCTCCTTAATTTTTTACTTATTTAGGACTAAATTATCTGAAGGAGTGGCGGTTGGAGTTCTACAGCACAATGGTGTCTATCTTGTCATATAATAGAGGGCTGTCATGGTCATGAAAAGAAAGAACTGTGTGGCCATTGAGTAGCAGACAGGCTTTTTGGGAATCCAGGCTCAGATGGTGACCACAGACTTCCAAAAGATCTTTCCTGTGGTCACAGGTTCTATATAGGCCTGACTTGGTTGGCCACCAACATCAAGACAGTTGCCCAGAGCCTCAAGTTCCAGCTGAACCTGTATGACTTCAAGGAAGGTCATATCGAGTCTTATATTTTCATGACATGGTGGCTAGCCTATTTGTGACAAACAGTTTGGTCCCTAGTCCATAGAGCCTGTCATTGGGTTGGATCTGAAGACTTTTAAGCCCATCATTTGCTCTCTAGACCTCAATGGCTGCCTAAGGTGATTGATGACTTTGTGGTCAGTGGTACCTGCTCCGAACAAATGTATAGGATGTTTGATTCTCTCTGGGAGCCCAACATGGATCTAGTACATCTGTTTGAAACCATTTCCTAAGCCATACTGAATGCCGTGGACCCCCAGGATGCCACATCAAGCATGGGTATCATTGTGCTCATTGAAAATGACAAGATCACCAAGATACTGAATGCCCAGCAGGACTAACCTTGTGCCTGGTCCCACTTCCCTTTTATTTGTTTGGTTTTTAGACCAGGCTGGCCTTGAACTCACAGAGATCCGCTTGTTTCTGCCTTCCAGTGCTGAGATTAAAGGCACGTGCCACCACCGCCTGGGCTCTGTTGCTTTTCTTTTCAGTAAAATTGCCTTTCTTTCATTTTTTGTTTTTTGAGATAGGTTTTCTCTGTAAAAACCCAGGCTGTCCTGGAACTCACTTTGTAGACCAGGTCTACCTGCATCTGCCTCCTGAGTACTGGGATTATAGGTGTGTGCCACCACTGCCCAGCTCAAATTGCCTGCCTCCCTGTCTCTCTCTCTCTCTCTCTCTCTCTCTCTCTTTCTCTCTCTCTCTCTCTGGAAACTGAACCAAGAAAAATCTCAAGCACAGTGATTGGGAGAGGTGCATTTTAAGATAGCTGGGCATATTAAAACGCTACATATTTTAATATACCATGACATTGGCACAATGACAGTAGAGTGAGAGATTGGTTATTGAGTATAATAGAAGCCCAGAAAGAAACTAAAACAATTTGAAGTTTCATTACATAATGACATTAAGAGAGTACTGTATTTCAAATCATGGGAAAAGATTTTTGGGATGCTTTGTTTAGATGAGTGGCTATTTGGTATGTAAGTTAGACCACTATATCAGATAAAGTACCAAAATTAACTCCGTGGATTAAATTTTTAAGTATACCTATTAAA